ATAATTTGTATTTCAATATTCTATTTTAAAGTGATTACCTCACGCACGGATAACCTCTTCATACCTTTTGAAGTTTGTGACATGTTTTAATTATACTTTTGCGATTGTATTCTTGCAAATTTGCAAAATTTCACGTAAAATTAAGAAGTGTAACTGAACATTAAAACTGTTTGAATATATATATATATATATATATATATATATTTGATACTTAAATTAGTACTCAATTGTTTGGGAACTTTAAATAATTCGAATAGTGGAGTACTCTGCTCATTCTTCAGATACTTAATTCGTTCTGTCAACTATGCATTTCCCTGTAATTTTAAAAACATTTTTATTAAGGCATTATGTAAGAATTAAAAATTAAAAAAATTCATGATATAATTATGTCTACAAAATTATTTTTACAAGCTGTTTACTATCTGTATTTGATTTAAACAGGAAAAGTTCCTATTCTTCAGATACAATAGTTTCTAAGTTGCTATGAATTAGTAGAGATTTGTTAAAAAGAAGTTATTGCAAAATTAACTTTAATTTCAAAAATTGTCCTCAATCCTACCACATGGCGACGCAACATGGTCACTAAATTCATTTTTTAAGAGTGGTAGCATTGATGATCGGAAGTTGCCGTGTGAAATCCTTTGTGCTGATTGGCTTCAAAAAATTGTTTACGTTAAAGATTGAGAGTTCAAAAGTTATGTGATTGACAGCGCGTAATTAAGTATAGAGTTACTTGTGTATTCATTTGAAAGTTTATTGCAATGGTGCGACATGCTGCGCTCAAGGGTTTATACGATTTGGAAAAGACTATTGGAAGTGGAGGTTTCGCAAAAGTTAAACTTGCAACGCACGTTGCGACCGGCGAAAAAGTTGCTATCAAAATAATGGACAAAACTGCACTGGGCGTAAGTAGCTCTAAAATTGAATAGATACGTCAATTTTGTTTAATTCAATTGAAATAATTGTCTGTATTTCTAGGACGACTTGCCAAGAGTTAAATTAGAAGTTAAAGCACTCAAAACTTTACTACATCAACACATTTGTAGATTATATCAAGTAATAGAAACAGAGAGTCATTATTTTATGGTGATAGAATATTGTTCGGGAGGAGAATTATTCGACCACATAGGTAACATTTTCAGTTTCAGTTTTATTCTGTTTTTTCCAAATTAATTAAATTATAGCCTTGACAAGCAATGGACAAATAATTGTTACTAATGTAGTTATTTATTGTTTAAATAGTTTAAGAAGGTAAACAAATAATTAAAATATAATTTTTATTTTTAGTGGAAAAAAATAGGCTATCTGAAACAGAATCAAGGAAATTTTTTCGTCAAATTGTCTCTGCTGTATCATATCTACATAGTTTAGGATATGCACATCGTGACTTAAAACCAGTAAGCTAATCTCTGTTTTTGTATTTGATTACATATAAATGTCAAACTATATTATTTTGTACATAGGAAAACGTTTTATTGGACAGAGATGAAAATTTAAAGCTTATAGACTTTGGATTATGTGCAAAGCCAAAAAATGGAATAGAATCACATTTGCAAACATCATGTGGCTCTCCAAATTATGCTGCCCCAGAACTTATATTAGGAAAAAAATATTTAGGTATTTTTTATTTTTTAAAAATACATTTTTAAATATTTTTATTATGATTCATCTTATCATGATTTTAAAAGTAAATTAATTTTGTGCTTATAGGTTCAGAAGTGGATATATGGAGTATGGGAGTTCTTTTGTATGCATTACTTTGTGGTTTTCTCCCTTTTGATGATAACAGTATAGAGAGTCTTTATAGAAAGATTCTTGTAAGTATTTTGTCTTATATAAAAATGATTTGTAATGGAATGAAATAAATACAAATTGCTTCAATATGATTTCCTTATGGAAAGTACTTATAACAGTTTAATTTTTTAGAGTGGCAAATATGATGAACCAAGTTATTTATCAAATAGCAGTAGAAGACTTATACGAGCAATGTTACAGATAGATCCAAAGAAGAGGATAACTATACAAGAATTGTGCAATCACCCATGGATCACAACAGGATTTCTCAACCCTGTTTCATTTTTGCACAAAACCAATGTAAGGTGCTTTTATTGTCTAGTAATATACAGAGTGGGGAATTTAAAACCTATCACCTGAATAACTCGTTTGTCTTTAACGATAGAAAAAAAAGTTCCAGACATAAGTAAGGAGCACATAACATGGTAACAATAATTTTATGAGTGGGGGTTAGGAGGTGTAGAGGACATATGAAAGTCAAAGCTGTTTTTTTAAATAGAATGGTATATTTATTATTCCAAAATCTTATTGCACATAAAAAGGAAATAATTTTTGTCCTATGTAATTTTTCGTAGAAGCTTCAGTTTTTAAGTTATCGAGATAAGCACATACAGAACTATAGATATTTGATAATGTTTTAGCGACCTTGAACATCGATACATAATCTAAAACATTGAGACATGGATAACACTGCATGCCAAATTTTAGTTGCATCTATCAGAGTACAGGCTCTTTTATCCATTCTTGCATGTCGTCTATTGCCATCAGTATCTTGCTCTTTTAATTTTCCCCACAAATAAAAATCTAACTGTGTCAGGCCAGGAGATCATGCCGGTCATTTGTTTCTTCTTAATCGAACAATCCAGCAATTTCCAAATTTTTTGTTTAGTAATTCTGTAACATTCCGTCTGAAATGAGCAGAGCATCTGTCATGCTGAAACTACATGGATTGTCGAATGCCCAAAGAAATTTCGTTTAAAAATTCTGGCAAAATGTCTAAAGATGTATGAGAGAAGAAATTTCTGTATGAAAATTTCAAATTTTGTATGTGTATCCCTCGATATCTTAAAAACTAAAGCTCGTATAAAAAAATGCTTCGGACGAAAAATAAAGAGTAATTTTTACATAGAGTAAGATTCTGGAATAAAATATTGTGTCCTCTACCTTTCCATCCATAGAAAACTGTTGTCACTAAATTATATGCTCCTTCAAATATAGCAATTTTTTCTTTTTTGGAATTTTTTTTCTATTGGAGACGAACGAGTTACTCAGCTGATCTGTTTTAAATGCCTCAACCCTGTATATAGAAAAAATTAATAAATGTTCTGTACTTACAGTTTGAAAAAGATAATGATGTGTTAAGTACTATGTCTGCAATATGTGGTGAAAATGCTTCAGATATATGGAAGAAACTCTTAAAAAGTGATCGAACTGATTATAAGACTGCCACATATCTTTTACTTTTGGATAGAAAACTTCGTGGTCTCTCACTTCGAATATCATCTTCAGCAAAGTCTTATTTTAAACCAGAGGTAAAGCAATGCTAGATACATATATTTTTCAAAATATTATATGTTCTTTTTTTATTATTTATAGAGCGGAGAAGGAATGAATAATGTCATAAAACTCGATTATTCTCCAAGAAACAAACGTAGTAGGAAATCACCAGTATTAGAAGCAACTTATAACATTTTGCCAAATACGCCTGAAACAGTTAACAGTAAATTATTATATTTTTTATGCATGTCGTTAATTTACTTTTACTTAATGAACTTAAGTAACTGTTACTAATTTACTTCTGTCGTTAGTTTACGTTTCATTATGCTTGTCTAGATGACAATTTCATGGAACCGCATTTGCCTGGACGAAAACGACTTCGAAGCAAAGAAGTAGATGACATATGTTCCCCTGGTATGTTAAATAAAATAGCAAATTTTGTTTTCCTGTACTTTTTACAATATAAAAAAGACACTTGGTTTAAATAAATCTGCACTTACAGCTTTTCATGAAAGTTAAATGTACTTTTGCTCTATTACGACCACGGTAATGTAATATATTTTCTAAAGTTTATTTCTAATTAGGTGATGGTAGCTACCTAATTAGAAACTTTAATGAAAGTTTTCAAGTGCCATTAATTGCTGTAGTTGTGTGAAAAGCAGATAATTAGCGAAGAGCAACGACTTGTGAACAAACACAATTTGGGGTTACAAATAACTACCTGTAAGAATTCTTTATCCTGTTCCTTTTCAAAAGGTACAATACCTTTTTTATGTTTTCTCCTTTAATCTAATTTACTAAAGTTTCTTCAATCTTCCACTTGTCAATGGTTTTTATTTCGTTAATTAAGTTTCACGTACATTTTCTACTAGATAATATTGCAAATAAAAATGTTTACAGTTCCTGCTAAGAGAACCGTAGAAAAGGATAGAACTGTTTCTACTCCAACCAATACGCCAGTATTAGAAACACGGTAAATTTTTATAATGTATAAAATGACCCAATTATTATACTGTTATTATATAAAAAAGGCAATCACTTTTAGGGGAACGCAGTCGTCTACGCCAGGTAGTGCAAGGAAAGTAATAATGGGTCTAGAACGCGGCTTGAATCGAGTACGGTGTGTCCTTACGCCTAAGCGGCGCGTTAAGAATGAGAATATTGATCCTGACCAACCCAATGTTCTGTCCGGCAAAGTTTGTATCTGATTAGGCGCATTAAAAGCGTAGTATACATTTTAAATTATCTAATTTATTACATAACATATTTTGTTATCGTTAAAGGGTCTTTTCAATGTATCGTCGACATCCAGCGACGATCCTAAATATGTACTCTCACAATTACGTCGAGCACTTCGACGCAAAGGGATCATGTGTCATCAAAAAGGGTAATACAAAACATTACATTAGAACGTTAATAATTTCGATACGTTGTTTAATATAATTAATTTTAAAAAGTAGTCAAATTTCCAACTGCAATATTTTCTTTACGGTTTAACTGTGATTTATATCTTTGTAATATTTAAACATGTTTGAGTAACATTTACAAAATTTGAATTTGACTTTGTTTTGAATATTAAAATTTTCATAAATATTTTAATATCTCTCTTTCTATGTTCCCATAGATTTATTCTTCAGGGAGAAACAGAAGATTGTACAGAAGAAAACAAAGATACAACGCGACCATTTTCCTCTAGAAACGCTTGTTCGTTTGAGTTGGAAGTGTGCTTATTAGAGGGTGTGTCGAACGACAAATTATTAGTCGGTATCCGAAGGAAGAGATTGAAAGGGGATGCGTGGGTTTATAAGCGTGTGTGTGAAGAAGTTCTCGCTCTGGCGGCCAAAGATCTCTCTACAGAATCTGAAGGTTCGACAGAATCAAAGTGTCCGATTTGAAACGTTGTTATTGTTTTTGTAATAGTAACGATACAAACATTTATTCGAATTTGTACAACTCTGAAAGTTCGAGAGATGATCTTACTGCTCTTTGATCTCTGTTAAACAGATTATGATAACGATGTAGACATGTGAAAAGTACTTTTCATTTTCTGAGTGTAAAGTCTCAGTAGATATCTTCAGCGGCAGCTTTATGTATAACCAGTGACGTATGCGCAAAAGTGACTCACCATCTGTCATTAAAATATTTCTTCATAGAAGAAATAATTAACAGGAGAATTATTGTATTAAATACAAGTACTGATAAAAGTATTTTTGGAATTTTGAAGAGTAGCATAATCGTGTAGTTCTGACGAGAGAATTCAAACCGCCCATTGTGTAATATTATTTATACAGTATGAAAGGAGTAGAAATAAATTATATGTTACATCTTGTTGCCTATACCCGATATAGTGGTGTGTGTCTTATGGTAATATAAGATGAAAATATTTTCTATTTTATTAGAGAGTGTATCATTATATTTACAATGAATCTAAAGCAATAAATATAAGAAACATATTTTCGCAGACAAGATTAACGTTTTTATTAGCTGCTAAATTGGCGACTTGATCAAGTTATGGATACGTACCGAACACAAAGGAACGTTTTTAGAAAAACTCTGCGACGTACCCGAGCCCTTTTCCTCTGAATATGTAGAGCTATATTTCGCGTTTACACCGCGGATATAAAGTATCGCGGCTTGTTTGAACCACGGCATCTTCACAAGAACAACTATGGACAGGCGAAGTTATAAAATCACCACAAATCGATCAGCATAAAGTGAAGCCGCGTGCACTTTGTTTTATGGGAGCCAAACCTTTTATCTCTACCCGCTCAATAATCGTCGGCCCTTGCTCGTATCCTTGAATAGCCTATTCCGGCTGGGTTCGATCGGAACGGTCTTTTTTCTGAACATCGATCGAGACAAAGCGGATCTGCAGAAAGCCGAGGCGTTCCGCTGAAAGACGTAAACTCCGGAATGAAGACATTCAGACATCAATCCGAACATTTAGCATCTGAAATGTTCGTGTACGACCGCTGCCACTCGAAATAGATAATAGATATGCTCATGAGCTGGATGATTCTATACAAAAATACTCTTGATAAGTAGAAATAGCGCGCAAATAAAGCGGAGTTGATATTCGTAGCAGAGCTCTTATTTATGATATTCTGATACCCGAGTTACTTCTGAGATACCTGGGTTGACAAACATTTTCTGGGTATCCGGTATTTCATAAGATATATGAGATACATGAAATACATGAGGAAATAAAATCGCGGACTATCAGAGTTGAGTAGACTTGAGCAAACAGAGTTCTTCTCTTNACCGGGACCGTTCATGATAATGACCATCAATAACCGATTCTTCGGAGAGTGTGTAGGTGGCTCAGGTATGGCCGAGCGATCCAATGCTCCATTGACGTTCGCTGCAGCCTCGTTAGCGCTCTTTAATGTAAATCAATCGGAAAGTAAGGCAGTCTGTGGCGGCATAGAGGATTAATAACCAATTAGACGCGGCTCGGGACCGCGAGCGGTGCTCAACGATTCCACGAGCGCGCTCCGGTCGACATATTAAATTACTCGTTTTTTCTGCTTGTCCAGACATTACCGGCGGCTACTAATTATGCGTGGTCCGTGGAGCAGGAGGAGCAGGGAAAAGCGGATTCACCGCGGAGCGATGCGCGGAGCGACTGGAGTTAGGTAGATAGCTGTATCAACGGCTGCATCTATCGCGGTGGCCCGTTTTAAAATGCGAGAAACGGCTCAGTAATGGTTGTCTCCGCTGACTCGCGTTTCATTAGATGGTAAACGCTCCTGAAACCCCGGCCTACTGATTGTGTGTTAATTTTACTGCCGGCACAGCCGCATGCGGAACGCTCCCTTTGATTCGCGCACACGGCTGATCCGTTTACTCGGACTCGGCTACCCGCCGGATGATTCGTTAACCTTTTTCTAATTGTAAACGCGCAGTTCCGAACAACATTGTAGCCAGAAGCGCGCCCCGCGAGCTTCATATCTACGCCAGCACTAAACTTTAACTAGTGTGTATAAGCGCCGGTTTATGTGAGCCAAGCATGATTCTTCTGCATTAACGTCTCCCTCGATTTTAGGGTGCTTTTAGACGAAAGAACGGCGGTTCGTTTAATGTACTTGCTGTTCCTCGCAATATTTCTTTTATGTACCTTGCCGATCCTCTGTGTCGGGTTTACGTGGATACGCATGGTTTGCTTAATTTATAAATATACTTTGCAGCATATTTTCCAGTTACACGTTCATTTTACGTCAGCATTTCGTATTTCTGGAGTCGGATCGTTAGGAGTATCAAGGAAACATTTAATGGGGCAATTGTATAATATTGCTTACAAAAATTAGACGCTTTTAACGGACTGCAGACTATTATTTTATGTGTGTATTAACTCTCGTCCGTTCCTCGTTCGTTCTTCGTGTCAATTTGACACAGTTTTCTATATCTTAATACGTAAGAATAAAAGCCACGAACTCTCCGGCAAATTTACTCACAAATAACTGAATAATGTAATAAGTTATAATTAATATTATTATAAAATTTACTCACAAATAACTGAATAATTATTTGTGGGCAAATTTGCCCGAGAGTTCGTGGCCTTTATTTTTATTTTTTAATGCGAAGCACGTGTGCATAATATTGACGATGATAACAAATTATGCCAATGTTAGAAATCTTTCCCAGATACCCGGATATTTCATAAGATATATGAGATACATGAAATACATGAGGAAATAAAATCGCGGACTATCAGAGTTGAGTAGACTTGAGCAAACAGAGTTCTTCTCTTTTAGAGAAGTTTGATTAATGACTAAAAATATGATTAATCTAATATTAGTCACAAATCATTTACATTTTAATTGGTATTAGTCAATAATTATTTGTCATATCGAAAATAATTTTTTGCTGATATTTCCTCAGGAAACTTTATATTCTATAATATTATATGAGATGATTTTACAGTTTTTCTGGAGTACATATTACTGTTTTTACAAACTTTAACAAGGAGAGGTCCCCAGACGTGACGCTCACTTTTTGATGAGACTGTACTCAGGGGTAGAGTTCGTAAAACTGAATATAATGATACTCGACTTTGAGTGCAGACGGTTTATAGTTTTCGAGATATTTAATGTTAAAGTTGTTAGTAACAAAGCCAACTATAAAATGAAATATAAAAAATTATTAAATTTGGCAAAGGTATATTTGAGCATTCCAGCTACATCTGTTATTTCAGAACGTTTATTTTCTACAGCTAGAAGTATAATAACTAAGGCAAAACGCAATAGTTTACTGCCAGAAAATGTTGATTCATTAATATTTTTATTTCAAAATCAAAATGTATATATATAAAATTCGATTTACTTAAATATTTAAGTAAGAGTTATAAAAAGAGAAACTGTATCTTAAAATAAATATAATTTTTTCATATTATTTCCACTGATCAATTTTGATACCTTTAAATCAGAATTTTAGTCGCAGTTGTACGTGATTTTATTTTCTTACGTATTTCATGTATCTTATATATCTTATGAAATAGCCGAGTACTTGGGCAATTTTTCTCATGGGTACCCAAGTACTCGGGTATCTCGGAAGCTAGTTAGTTTAAGCGTTTGAGCGGGAAAGCCAAGATAATCAAGTCTTTTAAAATTTTGTTGCAAATATTTGTTTACGATATTTATCAGTGCACGTTAAGGTATACAGCAATATATTTATTGATGGACAAGATATAAATAAAATGTTTTTACAATAAAGAATATCTCGAAGACTTAAGAAGAAATTATAAATTCTTAACCAACATTTAAAATGTATATGCGATACCAATATCGCAGCCCTTTCTTAACTAATCTCATGTACAAATTGTTGAATATTATTATTTATCTAGAACGATGAACTCATTTTCGTCTAGATTATTTTTTGTTTTCTTGTTTTTCAAATATTTCATTTACTAAAAATGTCAATGACCCCTAAATCATGAAAAATGTTCGCTTGAGAAAAATGATTGCTTATTGTAATGTACCTTCTATCTAATTTAGTCATGATTTCCTCTGACATATTTTTCTGTTATCAATAATTATCGCAATGGTACCTCAAGGTCATCCATGGCCCAATAAAATCATACTATAATTAGTTCCAGATAATTGCGATTGCAGCGTTTCGTTTAACTTCTTTCGAGCGTTTGGATTTTTCAGTTTCAATCGAGAAGTATTATAAATTTTCTGCTTTTGATAAAATATCTTTCTAATATTTTTAGAAAGATCCTAGTGTGACACCTTATAATCTGAAGAAGTATAGTACCATATCAGGGTTGAGATGCTCCAGCTAGGTGGAACACTGTATGAGAAAATCTAATCGTAACACTGGTTGATCGTTAGTAAATCTGACTAATCAATTTTTTACAAGCAAGGAGGAAGTTGGCACTTAAAGGGGAAGATGCACAAGCCTATCCTTTAGCTAGGCATCGCTAGGTGAATAATGTCGCGATCGGGCACGGTGTTTCGCGAGTTAGTCGCCGATTAATTAAACAGGTTATTTCGCGAAATTAATCAAACAGTGTGAGAAAGGGATGAGGGAGAGAGAAGGAAAGAACGGGGACAAAAAGTGCGGAGTATATAGATGAAGTAACCGGCGCGAGATGTAGACCTAAGTCGCTCGAGCATAAATTACAATTAACCGTAGCATGCGTGGCTGTTGCGTGTGCAACACGCGCGTGCATGTTACGGTATTAAATTCATCCTACGTTTTATCGGTAGGAAGACGTTAGAAGAACGCCATGTTAGCAACGCTCGCGAACGTTGGTCGAGCCTCCACTGTGCAATATTTTTTTCTTTGTTCGAATCGGAGACGTTTACCAGCCCAATAATTAAGTTGTCTAACGATTATTACGACTGTATTTGCATATGGCGGGGCACTCCTTGCGATAACGTGTAATTTCTGTGAAAAGAAATTTCGAAATGTACAATATACGATATCGGTTTTCCATCGAAAAATTAAACCAGTTTCGGTGAACGGTCTCAAGCATTAGTAAAGGGAGCTTTAGATGGACGACGACTGTAATTGCGCTTGCTCGTTTGCTCCTTTGTTCGGTTCTGCTATTGAAATCGATTGCAGAGCTACGAACTCGTGTGCGAGGTAAGATATTATTAAGTAAAAGGAGACTGATATTTTTAGTGCGCTTAGGTTGAAGATTAACGCATTATGTCACGGAACAGTTGAAGGATTCGTGCGTAAACTAAAAAGGTTACTCAATTATGAGAGACTCAAATTTTTAAGTTTTAATATTACGAATGAAACAAAATTAAAGTGTAACACGGAAATCAGAATCAGATCATGTAATTATTTTTAGTGGAAATTTTATTCGGATTATTCTCTGGTCATTTCTGCAAACGATTCGGAGAATTTAGATTTATCAGGGTAACGAGGGCCTTCGCTTGAAAC